TAAAGATGAATGAGGGTGATGAGTGAGGATGATGTGTGATGGATGATGAATGAAGGTGATGTATGAGGGCGATGAGTGATGGATGAGTTATTATGATGAGGGTGATGGATGATGAATGAGGGTGATGAGTGATGGATGAGGATGATGGATGGATGAGGGTGATGAGTAATGAATGAGGGTGATGGATGATGAATTAGGGTGATGAATGATGAAAGAGGGTGATGGATGATAAATGAGGATGATGGATGATAAATTATGGTGATGAATGAGAGTGATGGATGATGAACGAGGGTGATGGATTATAAATGAAGGTGATGATAAATTATGGCGATGGATAAGGATGATACATGATGAAAGAGGGCAATGGATAAGGTTGATGATAAGGGCGATGGGTGATGAATGAGGGCGATAGAGGATGAATGAGGGTGATGGATGATGAATGAGGGTGAAGAATGATGAATGAAGGTGAAGGATGAAGATGATGGATGAGGGTTATGGACAATAATGATGGATAAAGGTTATGGATGAGAATGGCGGATGAGGGTGAAGGTGATGGATAATGGATGAAGAATGAGGATGATAGGTGAAGATGATGGATGAAGGATGAGGATGATGGGTGAAGGTGATGGATGAGGGTGAAGGATGAGAATGATGGGTGAAAGATGAGGGTGACATCCTGCTCAGTGTTCCGTCCAACCTCCAGCCATTGTAGAACTATAAGTACAAGCATGCACAAAGTTCCCCCTTTCTTTCCTTGCCAGTCTTCTACAGTTCAGTGTCCTCCAAAGCTATAGATTGTTCTTAGAAGACTTCTTCAGGACTTCACATACTATATTGTACCCTTCATATTGCAACCCTGTAAAATATAAAAAGAAATTAGATGCTTTAGAAAAAAAAAAACAGACATTGCAAACTCCATGCAGATAGGCTGAGTTATTTATAGTCCATCCACACCTCTTTTAGACCTTGATCACACAGTATGTGCAGAAAAACTGATGGAAACTGACGCTTTATACACATTGCAGATTCCTGCACAGAAAAAAATCTGCATGTGATACTAGTGTGGTGTGAACAGGGCACATAGAGAACAAGTGATTTCATTGTGTCCTTGCAGAACGTGTGCAGAAAAACTGATGTCTCTGCACCAAGGTGTGAACGGCCCTTACTGGCCAAGGAAGCTGCCATCTTAGCCTTTGTTACCAGGAGCTTTAAAGCCTCTCGGACCACTTTCACAAAAAAATTGGTGTGTTGCAGGTCTGTTCATTCTTAGTGGCACCCCAATGCACTCTGCAATGGATGTATGTTGCAGAGCAGGTCCATCAGCAATTTGCATTTAAATGAATGGTATCACATCAATATATGTAAAGTGCATGCTCCTGCATGCATAATGGTGTGAATGGGCCCTTAAAGTGGAACTAAACCCTCCTATCCTTTTCAGTTAGGGAAGCTGCCATCCTAGCCTCTGTTTGTTCTGCAACTGCCATGGTGGTGCACATGTGATCAGTTACGACTCCGGCCATTTTGCCGATTTAATACCTACTACAAATGATGAGAACATTGGACAAAAAAAATGCATTCAGGATGATCATCGAATAATCTATTAATTAGTAGGCAGTTTTCATGAGTCGATCATGACAGTTAATGCAAAAATATCAGAAAAGGACAAGTTTTCTCATAAGATAACAGAACAAATGATTTTCTTGTGGTTAGCACAGTATTTGTACAAAAAAATGGAGTGACCAAGACCCCACATGCTCAATAAGGAAAAAATACATTACAATGCATTGCGACATTTCCGAAGTTGTATTCTGTCTTACGGGAATTTTGCTAACTTTAGTAACATTCATTTTCGATATGAGACTAGGATCCAAACAATGGACAATCATTCTCATAGTCTCATCCTGTGTATGAGGCATAACAGTTTGGTTGAGGACACAAGCAATTGTGACAGCAATGCTGATATGCTGGGAATGTAAGGCTACTTTCACAGGAGTTTTTGAAGCATTTATGCATTAAAAAAAGCGCCTGAAAAGCTCAAGAAAAATGCTTCCCTATGTATGTGAATGTATATCTATGTATGTTTTTACACTGAGGCGTTGAGCTTGCGGTGCGGTGTAAAAACTCCTGCTGCAGTATCTTTGGGGCATGTTTCGTGAGTTAAAAAAAACTTCCCATTGAAATCAATGGAAAGCACCTGAAAAACACATAAAAAATGCCTCTGAGAAAGTTTTTGGTGCAGTTTTTAAGTTACGTGTCCTTTAAAAAAATGCTCAGAAAGTGCGGTAAAAAACCTATGCATTTGTGCTGTGTTTTTGCAGCAAATCAGTGTGAAAGTATGGGTTGAGTTATGCTTTAATGCAGAATAAAACTGAAAAGGAAGTCCTCCTACGGAGCGCTGTCACAGCTCCCTGGGACTCCCATCTTTACATAATCTACTGTCTGGATACCCAGGCTGCAGCCGTTTGACTGGCTGAGCCTTTGTGACATCACTCTCACGCATGCGCATGGGAGTCTTGGCTGCGGCACGCCTCTCTCAATGGACGCCACATCGTCCATTGACAGCGCAGTCATGTACGTCGGTGACATCACCAGTGCTGCTAAAGAAATATCTCCTAAATAGTGCACATTTAGGAGATATTTACAGAACTTACAGGTAAGCCTTAATAAAGCCTTACCTGTAGGTAAAACATAAAAAAAGACTTTACTACCAATTTAACCATTAACAAACATGCTTAGTCATCAAGACACAAGAAGCAATAATTTACACCAACCAAATAAGAGTTTACCTCCCGCTCTTCACCCACAATGTGAACGGCATTACCTCCTAAAGATTGACTGAGATGGGGGAAAATTGAGCCACGGGGAGGGTGGGCAGGAGAGGGGCTCGAGAGATCCAAAGAGGCGCCAGGTGACAGAGCTGCTGACATGCCCAGTTACAGGGGTAAATATACAGGTGAAAAGCTAAATTCATTGGCCAGCTGTTTCCCCCCTAAAGCTCTGTCACCAATCCAGCAGTCAGCTGACTGAAGATCAGCCCAGCAACTGAGGTAAATCCTCTTAGCAATGGCAGGCACCTTGTACCTGGGGCGGCACAATGGCTAGATGGTTAGCACTTCCACCTGGTAAAACTGACGCCTCATGTTGAGTCAGGAGGAGTTGAAGCCTCCCATTCAAGTCCATGGTGATGCTCCTCAAGCGCCTGGCAGGCATTTGCGAGGTGGTTGCGAGTCTTTTGTGGAGCGTTAATACCATTAAACTTCATTATAGGTGTTTGTGGTGAGTTTTAATGCTTGGCAAACGCCTATCAAACGCCTCAAAAAAGTGCATATTGCATTTGGGGAGTGTTTGAGGAGCATTAAATACACTTCCCAAACGCCTGTCAAATGCTCCTCAAATGCTCCCCAAATGCCTGTCTAACGCTATAGGGGCATGAACATGAACGAGCCCTTAGGGACCTTAGATTGTGCACTCCTTGAGGTCATTTTACACAGCGCTTTATATGTACTGTATATGTAAAGCGTTGAGGAAATTGACAGCGCTGTGTAAGTACCTGTAATACATAAAAATACCTGACACACAAAACAGAAAGAACCAGCAAAGCCACCCCAGGAAGACATGGAGCTGTCACCAGAGTTTATTTAAAAACAAATGGTTGATAGGGGTGATAATCCCATGAGGCCACTTTTTCATTGCACCCAAACATGAAATTGTACACTAATTACAAATGACATATTTCCTTATTAATGTTGGCCTCACAAATGTTTAACAATGCCTCCAAGCCTTGGTTACAGGGCCAGGGGCGGACTGACAACTCATGGGGCCCCTGGGTAATAGGGGATCATGGGGACCCTGTGTCCTTGCCAAAACTCAAAAAAGCCTATGAAAAAGGTACCAGGGGCATCTCATGGGGTCCCCTACTGACCCCGGGCCCTCGGGCAGTGCCTGAGTTTCCAAATGGTCAGTCCACCCCTGTACAGGACTATACGAGGACAAGGTCTGATTACCTTCAATAACAGAGGAATGTGACTATATGGACAAGCCAGCCCACTCTCCTCTCAGGAATGCGCCATTTTCCTTAGAAGGTCATCATGTTGTGTGCAGTGGGGGTTGACCATTTCCCTACATTCAAGTCCAGTATATAACACACAGCTAGGTTGGAAATATTATTCTCAACCCAGAGCTTGCCCTGAGCATGCGTCTGTTCTGATCATCGGCCACGCCATATAATGGAGAGACCCATGGTGGAAACAGCATCTTTAGTTAAAGCGGAGCTCCACCCAAAAGGGGAAGTTCCACTTTAAGTCTTCGTTTAAGTCTAAATTTGACAGGTACCCGCTCCCACTTCCGCTGCAATTGTCTAGTTGTCCCCCCCCCATAGTTTTGTGGGACACGTGACGGTCCCAGAAGACTACAGGGCCATTCACAAACCACAGAACCTCTCGCGCATGCACAGTGGTCACCTGGCTGTGAAGCCGCAAGCTGTCACAGCCGAATGCCCACACTGAAGATGCCGGGGAGAGAAGATGGCCGGTGAAACCAGCCATGGTGAGTACACCACTGGACCGAGGGACACGTAAGTGATTGTATTTTAAAATTCAGCAGCTACAGTTTTTGACTTTTTTTCAGCTGGAACTCAACTTTAAGTATTCTTGTTATATTTTCGTTATCTTTACCTGTATCTGTCATTACTTGTAATGACAATTACAAGTAATTGTAAGTAATTGTAATATTTGTTTTACTTATAAGGATTCATGTGATCTCTGTTTGCACATATTGAATACAACCTCAAAATCGTAACAAAACATCTATTAACACCCATCATACCAAAAAACAAATCTGAATAATAAATTGAACACATGATGATGATGCTATAAAGGTTGTGGAAAAAGTTTAGGCTCTTTTATTTAGATTAAATACATTTTAACCGCTTCCCGTCTGCCCTATAGCAGTAATACTGCTACAGGGTGGCACGGGTGCACAAAATCACATATATATATACGTGATTTTGCATTTCGGGTAGGTATTCGCTATTCGTGTCCTCGACTGTCAATCACTGGGTCCTGGCCGGTGATTACTCACCAGCTCCTGGTGATCAAGGAGCATTACCGACGAAGGAAGAGAACTGTAAGTAAACAATACAGTTCTTTCCCCTGTCAGTTCCTGCACACTGCTATGCATGGCTTTGCATAGCAAAGCCATGCAAAGCAATGTGATTACAGTGAAAGCACATGCACAGTCCCCAGTAAAACAGCGCACAGTTAACCCTTTGATCGCCCCACATGGTAACTCCTTCCTGCCCAGTGCCATTAGTACAGTGTCAGTGCTTTTTATTAGCACTGATCACTGTATTGGTGTCACTGGGGATGTCAGTGACACCAAGTCAGTTCCCCCCAGTGTTAGAATGCCCGCTGCAATCCCGCTATAAGTTGCTGATCACCACACTATTACTAGTAACAATAAAAAAATTTTTAAAAATCCCAGTATACAGTCATGGCCGAAATTGTTGGCACCCTTGATATTTCTCCAGGAAATCATGTATTTCTCACGAAACGTATTGCATTAAACACATGTTTTTGCTATACACATGTTTATTCCCTTTGTGTGTATTGGGACAAAACAAAAAAAGGGAGGAAAGAAAGCAAATTCGACATAATGTCACACAAACCTCCAAAAATGGGCTGGACAAAAGTATTGGCACCCTTTCACAACTGCGGATAAATAAGAATGTTACAAGCATGTGATGCTCCTGTAAACTCACCTGGGGCAAGTACACAGGTGTGGGCAATATAGAAATCACACCTGAAAGCAGATAAAAAGGAGAGACGTTCACTTAACCTTTGCATTGTGTGTCTGTCTGTGCCACACTAAGCATGGACAACAGAAAGAGGAGACGAGAACTGTCTGAGGACCTGAGAACCAAAATTGTGGCAAAATATCAACAATCTCAAGGTTACAAGTCCATCTCCAGAGAACTAGATTTGCCTTTGTCCACAGTGCGCAACATTATCAAGAAGTTTGCAACCCATGGCACTGTAGCTAATCTCCCTGGTCGTGGACGGATGAGGAAAATTGATGAAAAGATTGCAACGCAGAATAGTCCGGATGGTGGATAAGCAGCCCCAAACATGTTCCAAAGACATTCAAGCTGTCCTGCAGGCTCAGGGAGCATCAGTGTCAGCGCGAACTATCCGTCGACATTTAAATGAAATGAAACGCTATGGCAGGAGACCCAGGAGGACCCCACTGCTGACACAGAGACATAAAAAAGCAAGACTACAGTTTGCCAAAATGTACTTGAGTAAGCCAAAAGCCTTCTGGGAAAACGTCTGAAGTGGACAGATGAGACCAAGATAGAGCTTTTCGGTAAAGCACATCATTCTACTGTTTACCGAAAACGGAATGAGGCCTACAAAGAACAAAACACAGTACCTACGGTAAAATATGGTGGAGGTTCAATGATGTTTTTGGGGTTTTTTGCTGCCTCTGGCACTGGGTGCCTTGACTGTGTGCAAGGCATCATGAAATCTGAGGATTACCAAAGGATTTTGGGTCGCACTGTAGGGCCCATATGTCAGAAAGCTGGGTTTGCGTCCAAGATCCTGGGTCTTCCAGCAGGACAATGACCCCAAAACATAATCGTCAAAAGCACTCAGAAATGGATGGCTATAAAGGTTGGAAAAAGTTCTGAAGGCCTTTTATGAGCCAGTTTCTGAGAGAGCCCAGATCTAAATCCCATTGAAACCGCTTGTGGAGAGATCTTAAAATTGGCTGTTGTTGGGAAAAGGTGTCCTTCCAATAAGAGAGACCTGGAGCTGTTTGCAAACTGGAAGAGTGGGTCCAAAATTCCGGGTGAGAGGTGTCAGAAGCTTATTGATGGTTATAGGAAGCGACTGATTTACAGTTATGTTTTCCAAAGGGTTTGCAACCAAAATTAATGTTAAGTGTGCCATACTTTTGTCCAGCGCCCATTTTGGGGTTTTTGTGTGACATTATGTCACTATTTGCTTTTCTGCCTGCTTTTTATTATTTGTTCACAATACATACAAAGGGAATAAACATGTGTATAGCAAGTCAACAGTGTTAAATGCCCGCAATACCTTTAAGTTTGCTGAAATACTTGATTTTAGTAAGGAAAAAAAAAAGGGTGCCAAAAATTTCGGCCATGTACTATATATACCTTCTCTTGTAAACACTATAACATTCACATAAACCAATTAATTTACACGTATTGGGATTTTTTCTAGCAAAGACATGTAGCAGAATACATTTTGGCCTAAATTTATGACAAAATTTTATATTTTTAATTTTTTTACTGCACATGTTTAATAGCAAAAAGTCAAAAAATGTTTTTTGTCAAAATTGTCAGTCTTTTTTTTCTAGCGCGAAAAAATAAAAAAAACCACACAGGTGATCAAATACCTCCAAAAGAAAGTTCTATTCATGGGAAAAAAGGACGTAAAGTTCATTTTGGTGCAGAATTGCATACCGCGCAATTATCAGTTAAAGTAACGCAGCGCCATAATGCAAAAAATAGCCTGGTCAGGAAGGGGGGGGGGAGGGAATCCTCTGGAGGGCAAGTGGTTAATTATGAAGTAAATGTTAACATTTATTACCAAACTGTTAACCATTAACAGACCAACATGCTTTGTCACCAAAACTCAAGCAGCAATATCTTTCACCGACCAAATACCAGTTTACCTGCCACAGCCAAGCTGGGACTATGAGTGTACAGATGGGGGGAGACGACTCAGCCCTAGACCTCTCCACTTCTCCTCAGAGCCCCCAAGAGTCCATCACTCGAGTGTAATCTGTTCAGTCATGCTTTTGCGAGGAAAAGATTTGCTTTACATCAACTTACATCAGTAAGTTGTACATCCGTCTTCAGTTCAGTTCAGTTTACATCGGTTTACACTTCAGTACAGATCAGCCTACATCTATTTTTTTACAAATGTTGTTGCAAAAAGGTGACAAAAGTATAAACAAAAAATGTTTAATTCCTAAAAATGGACAGAAATGGACGACATCTGTTTACATCCATTCAGATCCGTCTAAACAGAAAAGGATGTAGCGTTTTACCATAACAAAAAACAGACCCAATGGACACAGATGTAGGCAGATGTAAATAGATGATCACCCGTTTGCATCTATCTGCCTATAGACATACATTGTGGTTCAGTCTGGATCCATCTGAAAAATAGATCTAGACTGAACGTCTGTGTGAAAGGGCCCTTAGCCTCTTCCTTCCCATAGGGCCTGTTTACGCTCACGATGGAGGACACAAATCACTGCCTGTCAATTGGTGTTTGAAAAGCAATCCACCACAAATCACATTTCAGAGGTGCAGCAATGACACCTCTGAACAAGGCCTTAGAGCCCCTTCCTTCCTCAGATCACTATTAGATCCCTTTAAATCTCTATATTCCTCAGAGGCCACCTCCCATCTCCTCTCCTTCATCCCACTGACATAAATGCCAAGCAGTACCCCTCAGACTGACACCACTGATACCGATGCAGTAACATTTTTCTTCTTAGCAACACCACTGATGCAGGGACGTTTTTCCTTCCAGTGACCCCACTAATGCTAAGACCCTTTTTCCTTTCAGTGACCCCACCAATGCTGGGACGTTTTTCCTTCCAGTGACCCCATTAAGTCCTCATGCACACTGGACGTTTTTACTGCTGCTGTTTTAGGCTTTTGACTTTTTTTTGACAGCTAATAAACCCCCCACAGCATGCTATCCTATGTGTCCATACACACATAGACTGTAATCAACATTTTTTGTCAGGGACATTTTTTGGCTGGAAAAAACCCCCAGAACTAGTGGGTTTCTAAAGGGGTTTTTTAGCTGTAAAAACGCTCTAACACTCCAAAACCCAGTAAATCGCAGCAAACCCGCATTTTAGGACTTTGTTTACCAAAAAAATTTTTTTTTTGTAAAAAAAACACTAAAAACCACAAACGGTGAAAAACGTTGCTAAACGCTAATGCAAAAATGCTAAAAAAAAGCTGAAAAACTCACATTTTTAACGTGACTTTACACAGCTAACGTTACCAGCATTATCAAAACACCCAGTGTGCATAGAGGCTAATGCTAAGACCCTTTTTCCTGTCAGTGACACCACCAATGCAGGAACATTTTTCCTTCACCATTGTTAGCCCCATATTTGTGTATAAATGTAAAACTCTTCAGTTTGCTGCAGAGTACCACAACTATCGGTACTATTTTAGCACATACCACAAACATTACATACATTACATTGTGTGCACTAGACTTGTGCGATCTGTTTTGTTTCTAAACAAATTTCAGACAATTTTTTTTGTTATTCAGAGATTCGGATTTATCAGAATTCTGAATGACAAAAATAACTAATTTAAATGAATCCGAAATAACTAAACAAAATTTGCCCGAAATTCAAATGAAAAACAATTTAAAAAACAAATTCGAATTAGAAAACAAATTGAAAAAGAATTAGAAAACAAAATCAAACAAACATTTGAAATCATAAATAAAGGGGAAGTTTTCTGCTTAAGGACTGGTCCCCTGCTCCCCGTTAAGGATTGGCACTTTTGGGGAGCGGGGGGAAGGGCACCCAAAATTGACAGGTTCCCCTCCCACTTCCGATGCTATCGCTTAAGGCAATCAGAAGCACAAGTTGTCCTCCCCCCTCCCCTCCTCATAGTTTTCTCGGACATGTGACAGGTCCCAGAAGACTATGGGACCATTCAGAAAGCCCAGCGCTACTTGCGCATGCTCATTGAGCAGCCGGCTGTGAAGCCGCAAGCTGTCACAACTGGGTGCCCACACTGAAGATGCCAGCGCTGGGAACACAGGGTGAAACGGGCTGCGGAGAGGACACCGCAAGATCGAGGGACAGGTAAGTGTCCACTTTTTAAAAGTCAGCAGCTACAGTTTTTGTTCCTGCCCCTTCATATTTTTCCATCACTGCTGTCAAAAACAAACATTGATTTGACCCCACTACTGATTAGAAAGTCAAACAAATATTCTTGAAACAAATTATCTCAGCAGAAAATCTACATGTGTATAGCTAGATTTCAATTATTTTCCCCTGATTTAGGCTGGCCATACACGTAAATTTTCAGCCGAGAATATTCGTAAGAAAAGTTGTACGAAAATTTTTTGCACATTCGATGAATGGACGAATGTTGTTTGAAAATTGTCTTTTGCTTTGAACATTCAATTTTGAAATGAATGTGATTTCTGAATGAGAACCACATACACTAACCGAAAATTCTTTTGATTGAGAAAAATTTTTGTTACTGCCCCATCAAATTTTTCTGTCACTGCTGTCAAAAACAAACATCAATTTGACCCTACTATTGGTTGGAAAATCAAATGAATATTCTTGAAACTAATATTCTTGGAATGAAAATCTACATGTGTATGGCCAGCTTAACTTTTTGAT